TGTAGGGAAATCTGATAAGATTAATAAACTTTTTTTTCCTAAACATGGATGTTTCTCAAGATTTCAAAATAGAGAGACTTGAGTGAGTTTTCAAAATAGATGTTTTTTAATTTTATAATAAAGACAAAATTCAAAAAGGGGTCAGGGAATAAATGAATTCTAAGAACTCGTACTCAAATGACCCACATCCAAACTATTTATTTCCTTCAAATTTATTTTCTTTATTATATTAAGAATCCAAACTTGGTTTTATTATAAATCAATTTTACTAATTTGTTTGGCTTTAATTAAAAATGACAGTGTAACATTATCGTCCATTTTTGTGTTATATTCAAGTAATATGATTTTGATAATAGCTACATGATCAGAAAAACTTGTTCCATATTGAAATAAATAAATTCCTTTGATGGTTCAATAATTCAATACAAATCCATTCAATAAAAAAAAACTATAACCATAATTATAACTATAAAACATGTCATAAAATTAAAATTATTCACTTGATTATGTGTGCTTAAATGATATTTCCTTGATCTTAGCCAAATGCTCAGAAAATGGAAGAATGTTTATTGTACTACAACACTCATAGCCAGTACCTAATATTGGCTTAGATATAGATTAGACCAATTTTACAGAGCAAGATATTATCAAATGTAAGAAAGTTGAATGAAAACTTTGATGACAAAAATTCATGCATAACGAATATTTTGCCAGAAAAACTTAACGCATGATTGAACTGATGTTGATTAGTGTTTCCTAAATTAGCAACATTCTAAAGTGATTAATGGGGTTGAGAAGCACATGACATTGATGTGAGAGTGGAAATGCATGTGCAGGTGGAAGTGAAGGAAAAAGAAACATGGGAGACAAAAGAAACAGAAAGAGAAAAGAAGGAACTTTGCAAACAAGGTGGTGGTGGTTGCTTTTGGTGGATGAGAAAGAAAAGGCAGAGAGAGAGAAAGAAAGACAAAGAAGGAATAACATCTTTCTCACTCTCTTCAAAAGATAAAGAGCCTGAAAATATGATAAAGGGTGTACGTGCTGTGAGTGCATGATGCTTCATTTCAGATTCTCTTTCTCTCTCTCTTACTACAGCAGCAATTTTATTTTGCCGTGTTTTAAAGGAAATAGAAAAGTTAAGAGCAATTGCAAATTACAATTATGAAGGGATGTGTGTGTCGCTCTCTTTCTCTCTCTCATGGTCCATTTTTTTGTGTTCTTTGTTAAATGGTAAGTGATATATGCCATGTTGTGTTCTTGTGGTTACATTTGGCCGACAGCTTGGGCTTCACGTGCATGCTTTCTTTCTGCACTTTGAATCCGTAGATTCTTATCCCTAATTTGGTCTTACAAGTCAAATTGTTAAACAACTTGTCAAAATATATATATTTACAAGTTTATTGATGCAAATTTCATTTACCATAATTTTCTTGATAATTAATTTTTATCATGAAATTTGATTAATTACTTTTAATAAATTTTATTTATTATATTTTTTTATTTATAAAATTTGAATCTAAAAATTTAATTAAAAGAATAAGTTTATTTACATCATGATTAATGAAAAATTTATTGGTTTATCGATAATAATATGAACGAATAATATAATTATTGATACAGTATAGACAGTTCTTGAAGAAATAAATTTTATCTGTACCAAAAAAATTATTTTGGGAAATGCTCCGGTGCCCTTTTATTTGAAGGGGTTTTGGTGCCCCTCAGTACAAAAGTTGGGTTTTTAGGGGCAATAAAGTAAATTAATAAATTGATCAATTTACCTTATTGCCCCTAAAAACCCAACTTTTGTACTGAGGGGCACCAAAACCCCTTCAAATAAGAGGGCACCGGAGCAATAGCCAATTATTTTTGTGGTCGTCCACCCATTTACCCGTATAGAGGAATGGGAATTTTTAAAATCCAAAATATTATGGAGTTGAAAAAATAATAAAGCTCTGCCCAAAAAATGATAATAATAAAGACAAAAGTAATGAAGAAAGGAAACTTTAAACATTAAAAAATTCAAAATTTTCTTCTTAACTTTTTCTATTCATTTCAAATTTTAAATTGTTGTCCTTTCTCCCCCATTTATTAACACGTTTTTGAACAGTATATATGTAATTAAAGCCATGTTACTTGGAGCTGTTCATATTCATGTGTACAAAAATACAAGGTATAAGGAAGAGACAAGAAAAAAATTATAAAAATAAGCGAAAACATATTATGTTAAGACAATGAATTTTTTTTGGATAAAAATGGAAGAGACTTTACATACACTAGCATGTGGGCAGGATGCAAATGGAAGAACGAAAATAAGTAATGCATCCTTCCATATAATTGGTAGGATGAGAATAAGTTACATTATATCATACTTTAATATATATATGATCTATTTTATAAAATTAAAGTTTAATATTTATTATAATTTTTTTATAAATCTGATTTAACTTTTTAAAAATTTGATTTAATCTTTCTAAAATCTGGTTTAATTTATTAATTTATTTAAAAGTTTATTTATATTAATAATTTTAATTAGGTTAATAAACTTAATTTTTATAAATTAATAAATTTATTTTTAAATATATCATTATTTTCTAATTTGTGCGATAAAATATAATTTACTTAATATTATTAAAATTTAAAATTTAAAATATATACATGTCACAAGAATAAAAGTGAATTATTTTATATTATAAAGATAATTCATGCATAGTCATATATGTTAGTCTATACTCATGCGCAGATTATAAGTCTATAAATTTATAATGAAAAAAATAATCATACAAACAAATATTTTAAATATTTTTTATATCTAATTCGGTTTATTTTAAATAAATGAATCATATTTTAACAAACTAAAATAATTATAACAATGATTTACAAACTAAAAATATATTCATCATACATGAATTGATCTTAGGAGTATGGGTATATATACAATGACACAATGAGGGAATAAATAAAATTATTTTATGTTAAAGAGACTGATGTACATCAATGTACATTGATGTAAACTTAGGTACAGACTACTATAAAGATGTTAAATTTATTCAAATAATATATGTAGAGAAGGGTTCAAACGGTACCAATATAACTTTTACTAAGTGCGTCTAATAACATTATATTAAATGTAAATTTTGTAATTCTAATCAGATTGAAAATTCATATCACTTTATATGTGTATATCAAATTTTGTTAAAATTGAGCAATAATTTGAACGTAATCAAAGTGTTCATATTTTAGTATATTTTGAAATAAATATATTACGTCAATTTTATTTTATAAGAATGAAGTATTAAATCATTTTGAATTATAATAAAATTTTGTATATATGATCTATGAGTAAAGAACTTTCAATCTAATAGTTGAATTTACAAAATTTACACTTAATATAAAGTTATTGAGCAGTGTAACACTTAATAAAAGTTGCACCAATATCGTTTGAACCCTCTTCATATATATATATATATATATATTAATTTTTTTTATTATATTACATAGATTAATAGACTAGCCTATTAAGTTTAATAATTTTTTTATAAGTTTAGATTCAATCTTTTTAAATAAATAATTTTTTTTAAAAATCTAAACTTTTTATTAAATTTTAAAGAAATCGTATGATAAATTTTTATTTAAAATTTGATTTATTCTCATTTCTAATAATTGGTAATTAAATAATAAATAATTTTTTTGTAATAAAATAATAAATAATAAGTCATATATTAATTATAATATTTAATTAATTAATAATTTAGAACTATTTTATACTTTATTAATCTATAATTATTGAACTTAAATTTTTATATGAAAATATAAAAATAAAATGAGATTGTTATGATATAATTAAACTTTAAGATGTATTTGATGATTTGATACATTATATAAATATAATAAATAAATTTTAAAATATATAAAAATTAAAATAACTTTTAAATACTCGCTCATTAAAAAAATAAAATCCCTAAAAACACTCCAATTAAAAATACATGTTTGATATATTAAAATGCGAGCTTAAATTTAAATAAAAAAATATAGTTCTGTATAAAACGCGGCGTTTTGCTGGTCTATGTGCCAAATCCAAACATTTGCTGGCTCTTGTTCTTCCCAACCCCTCTTTCTTCGCCGCAGTGTTGCTGCGAATCCGAATTCTTTTGAGTTTTCGTCTCAACAGCGTGAAAGAGGTACGAACTTTTTCTAATATTCAGTTTTTGTTTCTGATGATTTTTTAATAAGTTCAGTTTTTCTTAGAGCAAATTGTATTTGGTTTCAGATTTATTGTGAGCTATGGAACACGGCTCATACTCTGATCCGAGTAAATCCACATTTTCTTTCGGGGATGAGGATCATACTTTTGCAAATTCCGTCAGATTCAGTTTAAATCAAGAGTAAGTCACTTGCGCTTACTCTCTTCTTGAGTTCCTAAGTAACACATTTTTTTTTTTAAAGCTTCGATTAACTTTCTTTGTTGTTTATCCAAAGTTTTATGCTGTTTTCAGTTTCTAGAATTAGGGTTCTTCTATATACATGTATGATAGTAAATGAATTTTATTAGTGAGAAAAGTGAGAAATTACAACTAGAGGGGGATAAGATATCCAAGGAACTTGAGAAACTGAATATTGCAGTCTCTATGCATGATGAACTTCCTTGAAACACTAGAGGAGAACACCAGACAGAAGCCATAAATGTTGGCTTATTCCATAACAAACTTCGGGCCTGAAAAGTAACCATGCACCTCCCACAATGAATTTCAGTTTACCTATTGTTTTCCTTAAAACTGCTCCTTAGGAGGAAGCAGCACTCACCAAAACATAATTGAGTTCAACCTGATCCTTTTTGTGGATAACAAATTGATTGATGGATTTCTCCCACCCTCCTGTTTTTCAACGAGGGAGAGAAGAAGACCTGAAACATTAGGTTCTGTTTGGATAAATTTTTCAATAAATTAAAATTAACTTATGCACTTAACTTTTATAAAAATTCGCATTTAAATTTTCCAAAAACTGAGGTTCTAAGCTGATTTTCACTTGAGAAATAAGTTTAATTGAAGTTACTCTTTATTTGTTTTATAAATGTTAATTGAGAAGTTTGTTCAAATAGGGTTTTAGACAAGAAGTTCCTATTGATACTGATTTCATTTCTTTCTGTGGTGCACGATTAATTAATCCATTTGCATTTTTGTTAAATGGAGTTTGAAGGATTTTTTGTTTTGCACCTTGCATTATAAAATATGAATGTATGTTTTTTCTGGCTTTTCCGTAGCTCTCTTTCTAAGAACTACCTTTTCCCTTTATTCCTCTTCATCGTCAGTGCAATATATGCTGATGAGGCATTGTCATTACTGTTGTCTTACAGCCCAAGAGTGTCATTTTGTGGGTACAGCATTCCCCATCCTTCAGATAATCGTGTTAACATCAGAGTACAGACAACAGGTATGCAGCATAGTGGTGGATAGAATATAATGCGACTCTGATTTGCAAATTTGTTCCAAAATCTACTGCTATAAATATATTTTTCTATTAAAATCACAAGAGAACTTGTGCTTAGATACCAATTTCACATTTGTTGTGACAATCTTGTATATTATGTTGACTTGCCTTTTGTTACTTTTGATAGATATATAAAGGTGTGAATAGGAGCGGAATTTTTTTAAGCCAACTATTATGGGCATGTTTGTTTTATCATGGACTTTGTTGAACAAAAAAAAAACAACACACATTCCAAAGCATCAAATCAAAAAGTAACATTTTTATCTTTTCCATTGAATGTGATTTTGTGAGTTTTTAACGGGAAACCAAACACGCACATTGTGATACTAAAAATTTTCTCATTGAATGACATTCTCTGTTGAACTAAAGTTTTGTTATGAGAGTTCAGATAAAAACATATTATATGGTTTAGGTGTCGTAGATAATTCAATTAGTGCTTTTATGTTAGGTTGTTAGCTAAATTACCTATAACTGAGTGTACTACAAATACAATTGTTGTATATGTGACAAACATGTAGTGAGAAATAAAGTGTTCAGATTCAGCATCATCTCTCTCTCTGTCTCTCATTCTCCCCCTCTTCTCTGCTTTTCTGAGTGTTTTCCAAGTTCTAACATTAGGCCGTGCATCTATAAGTAATTAAAAAATCAAACACATTATTCATGGTGTAAAACGTGTTTATGGATGATCTGCTATTTGTCTAAATGTAATACATTTTACACCATGAATAACATGACTTTTAATGCTTATAGATGATTTTGGATATCATTTATTGTATTTTTTATGTTCTAAAACTTGTTTCTTATGGTTTTCATCCCATTCAACGTCATTGCATCAGTAAAATTATTGTTGAATGTGTCATCTCTTTGTGTAGGGGATCCAGCACGCGAGGTGTTAAATGATGCATGTCAAGATCTCATGCTAATGTGCCAGCATGTTAGGAGCACTTTTGATAAGGCAGTCAGTGATTTTAAAAAAGGCAAGACTAGGAAGGGCAATAAGGATATGAATGTTGATTAGTGTACTAGTTATATTTCACTTTGTATCTTTTTGATCCGCATCACGGTGAATTTAGAAAAATATCAGCCAACTGCAAAACTAAGAAGAATTGGCAATTTCATTATGTATTGAAGTTGATGTTTGTGTGCATCGTTGGTCTTATAGGTGGGTATAAAAATATCCTTAGAACTCATCTTCCATTTTTGTATTTTGCGTATGTAGCAGCTACACAAAACTAATATTTACTATCAGTTTTTGAACTTTCTTTCAGAAAGCAAACTTTATTCCTGAAAATTCAAAAACCGTCAGCCCTGGTTTGAATTTTACGATAATTTCTTTGTATTCTGGGTAAATTTTATTTTTAAATATTTAAAATTGTAGAAAAATAACCTATAGATGAGATGTAAGATGTAACCAACAACTTACTAATAGAATTATAGCATGTTTGGGAGAGCTGAAAATCTGAATTTCATCTGTTTTCTTTATAAAAAAAAACAAATAAGTTGTTTGTAAATAAGTTATGTGTTCCAAATACTAGCTTAGGTTTACAATCAACTTTTTTTTTTTAAATAAAAAACTTTCTATTAAATTATAAATTTGAAAATTTTAATTATTTTTTATTAATCTTTTTTAAGTTTATTTTACTATATAAAAAGTAATTATTTCTTACCCAACAAAGTAATTATTTCTTATTCAAATAAAGTTAAATGTTTTAGAATTATTATTTTTATCCAATTACTCAAACAAAAATATATTATGACTATAATTGATTGTTGAAATGATTTAATTTACAACTTTCTAAAATACACCCATAAGTTATAAGCGGTAACTACTTTAAAATTATCATGTTTTGTTTTGGTGAACATTTTCCAGTTATTAAGTACTATCATGTCATTTATGTATTCTTATAGATGATGCAATCATAAATCTTTAGTCAAACCCCTAAATTGCTAAATTTAGTTAGAAACTTTAGTGTTTTGTCATCAACTGCTATATTTGTTTGATTTGGTATTCATGCTTCCGATTTCCCCTCCATCACAAGCTAACTCAAATTTTAACCATCATATTCATCTCACACTCACTAAGCACAATGCCAATCGCTTCACCCAAACAACCCTCTCTCGTAATCATCACAATCACCTTCTTCGTCTTATTGGGCCCAGGCCCAGTCCTTGCTCGCGACGCCCACGTCATCAATTTCCACTGTCCCAATCTGTACCCGGAATCCCTCGCGTGGGACCCACTCGCACAGCACTTCCTCCTCGGCTCCCTCCGCCAGCGCATCATCGCCGCCGTCTCTGACGCCGGCATCGTTGAAACCTTCATCTCCGACACCGACCTCCCCGACGGCGCCGCATTCCTCGGCCTCGCCGTCGACCCGCGGCGCAACCGCCTCCTCGCCGTCGTCCACTCCAGTCACCACCTCCCTCCGCTGAACGCCCTTGCCGCCTACGACCTCCGCTCCCGCCGCCGCCTCTTCCTCTCCCCGCTCCCCTCCGAAGACGTCGACGCGGCGAACGACGTCGCCGTGGACCACCGCGGCAACGCCTTCGTGACGAACTCCGGCGGAAACTTCATCTGGAAAGTATCCGCAGACGGATCCGCGTCGATCTTCTCCCGATCTCCGATGTACAGGGAGGCGACGAAGAGTCCTTCCAACGGCGACGCACCTTACGGTTCCGTAGGACTGAACGGAATCACTTACGTGAGCAAGGGATACCTCCTGGTGGTGCAGTCGAGCAGCGGAAAGGTTTTCAAGGTGGACGCGGTGGACGGCACGGCGAGGAAGGTGTTGCTGAACGAGGATCTAGTGGGCGCGGACGACATCGCGGTGAGGAAGGACGGCGTGGCGGCGGCGGTTTCACCGATGAAGGTGCTGTGGTTGATGAAGAGCGATGATAACTGGGCGGAGGGAGCGGTGTACGACAAGGTGGAGGTGAACGTGCGGCGGTTTCCGACGTCGGTGGTGGTCGGAGATAAGGATAGGGTTTATGTGTTGTATGGGCATTTGGATGAGGGGAGAATGGGGGATTCTGGGAGAGAGAATTTCGGGATTGCTGAGTTGAGATCGAAGAAAGAAGGTGACGAGAGGGTTTGGATCTTTGTGTTGATTGGTCTTGGCTTTGCTTATTTTTGCTTTTGGAGGTTTCAGATGGGTGAGCTTGTGAAGAGAATGGACAAGCTTCATTGACTTTTCTTCAATTCATTCTTGCTGTTAGGTACTTACTTTGCTTTCCCAACACTAGTTGCTTCAATTCATGCCTCTTCATCACTTTTTCTTCACTATTACTCATCTCCCAAAAAACCTTCAATCAAAACTATCCACTACTATTTCAAATCAAAATTAATTCCAACATTATTGTTTGTGTTTTTAAAATCTGCTGATTTTGGATTTTCAATAATTTCGAGATTATTTTTCATAATTTAAATCTAGAATGCGCATGAAATAAAAATTAAATGTATTTATATGAATCTATGAATAATGAAATATCAAGATGTTATAGTTTATAAAGGGATTTCGATAAATTCTTCATTTTCTGTATTTGTCTATTTGAAAAATATCAGTAACTCTTCAACATCTTTTCAACTCATTTTTGATTGTAGGATAAAGTTTATTAAAAATTATAGTATTATGTATCTCTCATTATTTTCTTAAAATCTTATAATTTTAAATAAATTTTAACTAAAAATATAGATTAAATAGTGTATGCACTAATGATGTAAGGATTGCTAATAACAGTTTTTTTCAACATACACTCTATATCTAATTAAAATTAATAAAAATTATAAAATCATAAGAGATGTTCATTAACTACAACCCTCTAGGATTAGTTAGAGACCAAACTCTCAACTTCATATTTTACTTAACTAGTCATTCAATTAGGTTATAGTTCGATTATCTTCATATCAATTCAAATAGACTTTAGAAGGAAACTAACTTTAAAACATCATAATTCAACTCTAGCATTTAAGTATCTCATTTAAGACATGCATCTCAACCACATTCTACAGCTTCACAACTTAACAATTATACAACATATAATTTACATCTTAACATCATCAATTCATCTATCAACTTACAACATAGGTATTTATCATCACATATCAACATACATACAATCTTGATCATCAATATTCAATTATAATTCATCATAGAACAACAAATCAACAACAAGCAATTAATGCCTGATGCTACTCAAATGGTGCCCGATGCCATTGAGACAGAAATTTCCTTTTCTTGTCCATGTCTAGTGTCACACCACCTACACCTAACATGGTTGAGGTAGAGATTACTCCACCCTCTTGCACCTTACATGGTACAACCTATTGCCAACCCTAATCAAGTAGAAGGCCTTTGCTTAACTAATGCTCAACACCACACTCATCAACGCCTGGTGTGAATCTAGGCAAAGATGAGTCTCTCTCTTCATGTTTGACGCCATTCAACCTGTGTTTGGCATGATTCTAACCTGAAATAGATCTCTTCCCTTACATCTGACACTACCAGTCTTGCACCCAACATGAGTGAGACAATATATAAAATAGAACTAGAATTATTGTCTGTTGCAACAGAAATCTTAAGCTTTATTTATGGTTATATTTCTTCATTTCAATACTTATGCATACCTTTGCCATGAAGGTATGAACTTGGCTTTCCCTCGTCCAATTAGATGACATGCAACTTTTCTCGTTTTAAGAGGAGGCACTTGACCTTTAGAGGAACAACCATATTAATAAAAACTACTCTATCTTTTTTATTTATAATTTTATGTTCTATTTTCATCTATAAATAGATCAAAAATCTTCCTGGTTAATTACTAATTAGAGAAAAAATACAAAATATTTGTTATAAAAAACACTCAATTGTGTTACAATTATTAAATAATTACATTTTTCTCGCTTCACCCTCGTGATTGATTAAAAACTGACAAGAAATAATTTTGAACATAAGTTATCCGTACAGAATATATGTAACATTACTCATAATGAAAGTTGAAATTAATTGTGCATGCCTTGTGTGCACGCTTAAAGAAAGGTACAATAATCCCGGTTCGTTCTACATCAAAATTGACCGATACATATACTACTAGTCAAGGTTGAAATTTATTTTGCCCCTAAGGTTTTAAAGTGCCGCCAGGGTTATATACCTCAAAAATAGATATGCTGAAAATGTGTTGCAAGTTATAGTTGCAAAAATCACAGAGATTAAAACCATGCATGCTACTGGCCTGAGTGATCATGTCCTTGTTCATCATATTGTTGTTGCTGGTTGTAGAAGTAGGATGAGGGAGATGAGGAGGATGATAAAGTGGTAGAGAATTGAGAACTCAAAGGTGGTTGTTCTTGTTGTTGGTGATTGAAAAGATGTGATGTGTAATAAGGGAACTGTGAATCATCACTTGAAAGAATCCGTGCATATTGGAAGAGATTAGGGAAAACTTGGTGGTCATGTTGTGTGGACAATGGGTGAGGGGTTACAGCATCAAGAGAAGAAACAGAGCCAGTTGCTTGGAAGGGAATGATGTTTTTGTTTGATGGAGCTTGTTGAAGAAAAGTTGCATCTTGATGAACCCTTTCAGGGAAATTAAGTTTGGCTTTTGTGCCTTTGAACTTGAGTGCTGCTTTGTCATATGCAAGGGCTGCATCCTCAGCTGTTTCAAAGGTTCCCAGCCACACTCTGGCTGCTTTTTTGGGATCACGTATTTCTGCTGCCCATTTGCCCCATGGTCTCTGCCTCACTCCTCTGTAGTGTGGTTTCTTTGTCACTTCTTCATCACCAACACATGCAAATCAATAACAGATTTTACTTAATTCTACTTCTTTTAATTTAGACATTTTAATCTTCCAATTTTCAATTGCTTAAACGGATTTTTTTTAAGTATTACAATTATGCAATTTAAATTTCTTTTGTAAGTCACTCCTTCATCACATATTTAATAAATTTTGATGTGATACATAACGCTTATAACATGATAATTAATATTTTGCTTACACTTTTTTGTCTCACAATTATAATACCAGGGAGAGTAAAAGTGATATTAAGTCACGTAAATTAATATGTCAAGAAACAAATCAGCTGTCAAGTTATCATCCAATTTCATGTCAATAAAATTATTAAATATTTAAATAAAAACTGATGGAAGAATCAAAATCATATAATTGCAATTTCTGAAAAATCATACTTCGTGCCATTAAAACCTGGGAGACCAAAACATTTTTATGGTATGACATCTAAAAATTACAGTAATGAAATATATTATAGAGATATTAGTGTATAAAACGTGTTAACTCATGTTATACGAAAAAACAAACATTGATATCAAGTTGATTTATATTGTGTTTGGACATAAGTCATTTAATTTAAATCTCGGGTCATATTATAAAATGCACAAAGATTAATACTATCTCCTTCAAATTTAACACGAGTTTTATGTTCTCGAATAAGAAATCAAATACTAAAAGTCATTAAGCAAAGTAATTCGATACAGCCTTAATCAAGACTAGGATACAATCTCTGTCTTATGTATAAAATCACTATTGAAAATAACAATTTATTTTTATAATTCTTATAAGAACCTACTCGGTAAAAAAGAGTTATATGTTCTTATAAAAAAAAGTTAAAAACCAAACAAACATTTAAGTTGAAATCTTATTGCTTTCATTCATTGTATAGGGTCGGGTATATTACGTTATTATTTAAATGCACAAGATTGAATCTGGAAACAGAACATATGCAATTATAAATGTGGGGTACGCAATCCGGAAAATAATGGACCCATTTGAAAACACTCCGTGGTAATAATAATGTAGTTGATAATAAGTTCATAACAAAATGAAAGTGCTACTGTCTAAACTTGAAAAAAGAGATCAAGTGGAATGTGAAATGCAAGTACTGATTTAACAAAGTTAAGGTAGGTGCAGATTTTATGCTTCCTAGTGCATAAAACTACTTATCCTCACCCCTCTTCTACGACTACATGATTATCAAGAGGAAATTATATGCTTACACATGGTTACCACATGTGAAAATGGACTCTAGACTAAAATATCATAAATAATATTTCTAAAATTAATTCACACCCATGCATATTATGTGTAAAGACAAATAATGCTATCACCTGAGAATGAGAGGGGTAAAAATGATAAATGAACACCATACATAATTAATACGATGTGAGAATGAGAAACAGATAAATAAATTAGAAATATGATACAAATCTTATAAAAAAAAATGTGGTGTACGTAAAATGTAGAAAAATATGTGACATATGCCTCTTTGGAATATAAGAAGAACAATTATATTTTATTTTGTTATGTGAAGAAACTCTCATGCTTTAGCTCGCCTTGATGTTACCTTTGGGTATTCGTCAAAGATGGGATATGCGTAGACAAGAAAAAAAAAATGGCACGACAACTTGAATATAAGACAAGCGCATGCATTGAATTTCTTTATGTCCTAAGTTGTCCACATGTGACTCATACTAATTAACTAGCATTCTTAATATTGAATATCTATTTATTCTAACCAAGATGTCATTGTCAGTGTCGATTTTTATCAGTTATTTCAATGAAAAAAAACTAGTTTGAAGTAGCAGTGAACTTGAGATGATATACACTAGATTTTACTTTTGAATTTTTTTAAGGGTTTTCTTTTGCTATATGAATCTCAATGTTATTTATAGATAATTTTGAATCAGTTATTAATTTTGAAATGTTAGAATAAAATCTTAAAATTTATAGGTTGTGGTTATTTAAAATTATATTTTATTTTTAAGTTTTAAAACTAATAGAGTATATTTACAACTAGCTTCTGATAATACTAAATGTCATATATGAAGATTCCTTCCTAATTATTCAATACCATAAAAAGTTATTCACATTAAAATAAATTACTGTAACATTTCTAAAAAAAAAGTAATGTAATTTTTCAAAATACATGACAGAAAAACAGTGTAATTTGATTATCTTTGAAAAAAAAAATGTTACCTTATATATATATATATATATATATATATTAATATCAAAGATCATAGATCATTGTTCGTTGCTGGAGTCTAGAACATTTTCATAAGTTTATGAGAAGGTAAGTATATACTTGTTTGATTTTAACAAGGATAGATCAGAAGGTATCACAAATTCCAAAATCAATTTATTCTATTATAATTATTATTTTGATACAACACAAATTGGTTCTTTGACATCCACATCTCCACCATTTCCATTAATTGGAATTTAATGTTACAGAAAGTGTTTCTTTTTTTAGAAAACAAAACAAAAAAGGAGAGTCGCTATAACATATATAAATTGTTGTTTTAAGGAAATTAAACATGCTAGTCAAATTAAAATGATTTAAGATAATCAAACCTTTTTGATCTAGAGGAGGATGAGATGGGTAAGGTTGAGGCTGATCATTGACCACTGAAGTTGAGAGAGGAAAATAAGTTGATTGTGGCATGTGTGGGTTCCGATTGGTGGTTCCCATAACTTGAGCAAGAGCAGAAACCATTTCAGACATGTCAGTTTCTGAAGACCAAGATGCATAAGCATCAAACTCATCCTCTTTCTCTTTCTCCTCTGATGCTTCTGAAGATAGTGGAAGCTTGCCATGCCTTCTTGGATCCACTTTTAGTGTGTGTGATTCTCTATACTCTTTATGTTATGAAATATAATCTTGTGGTCATGTCAGTGCTGCTATATATATAACAGGCAAATTTAAGGGTTGAGAACCAAAGAAAACATAAATATATGTTGAGTTGTTTTTCTTAAATTCAACTTTTGTCCTTTTTTATAATTTTTTTATTTATATAATGGTAGATAAAAAATGATATTTTTAAGGTTATCGAAAAAAATTAATGATATATTGAGATCGATAGTTTTAATTTGATTCATAATTTTATCTATAAAATGATAATTAGTTAATAAAAACTATTAGAGAAATATTATATTTGTCAATAAATTTTCTTGAATAAATATGTTTATCAAAATAAGATTTTAATAATTGTAGAATTTTTATAAAAAATACAAATTTAGATTATATTTTAAATTATTTATGTCAAATCATGATGACTTTTTTTTTCTTGTAATTAACATGATTGACTCTCATTTGAATTTATTTTAAAGTAATTCCATACATAATGTCTCATTATTATGAAATGCGTGAATCTGTAAGATTATTTTAGTATCATTACGTAAAAAAATTAAGAAAAATGTTAACATGAAAGAAGAAATGAGTACAAGTTTACCCTAGATGTGATTTTTTGATATTTTTTAAGTAAAAAAGAGGGGGAAAACTACAATTGGGATGTTCACTTTATGGGGTAGTATGTATGATTCACATTCCTTTACAGCTCTCACATCGATATCTATTGCAAAGACGAAATCCATATCTCTTACCATATTCTTATACACCAATTGTCTTTGGAACAAGTGGCTTCATAACCTTTAAAAGTCACACCATTATAAGCGGCTAAAAGAAAGACACATCTCTTTAATTATTTTTAGGTTTTTCTTTTTCTTTTTAATAAATTATAACATTTTTCAATACCTTTATTTTTGCGTGGATTAATCTTTGATGAGGTTTTGTTTCTCCACTAAATAAATCCTAGCTATAGAATAGGCATTTTGATTTACTAGTTTGAGACCAAACTAATTATCACTATTTTTTTAATATAAATTCACTTGTTAATATGTTAGAGTTTAATTTTAATATAGTATTAGTATAAATACTTTTAGAATGTCAACTAATTAAACACCACCTTAAATATAATTTTTTAGAATAATTATTATAAAATTAGTAATTTTTAATGAGAAAATAAAATATGCACCAAAATGTAGAATATTTTTAATTCTGTCTGTTGAATATGGTGTGGCAAATTTAGTCCCACATCGAAGTAATATTTTTCAAAAGAAATGTTGCAAAATAACCAATGTGACATTTTTTTTACTCGATATGAGACTTTAATTTTGAAAACAATTAGAAAGAATAATATTGAAATAAAATATGTCACTCTATCTATAATGACATTTTTCAAAAAAAAATGTTACAAAATAACATATTTATTCAATATATAGTAAAATTTTGACAAATATAAGAAAGAAAATGTTATTAAAGAATTAAAATCTAGTAGTGATGATGTTATCACTTATAATTTATAACTCTTGCAAGTCCTTTGATGTAGGGTAAAGACATTCTAAACTAGTTATTATTATTTTATTCGATGTAAAACTTTAATTTTGAGAAACAATAACTTATTAATTTAATTTGTAATAATATTTTAATAAATGTAAGTAAGTAAATGTTATTTAAAAAAATTAAAACGTTGTAATATGTCATTTTACATTTACTAATTATCTTATCGGTTAATTTGACTAAATAATTTCAATTCAATCAGCTACATTTTCATATCTTAGTGTATAACTTATAAACTTTAATGGGGTTATTAGTTTTACCAAAGAAAAATTTGATTATTGGATTAAAAGTTGTTTATACTATATATAGAATTTATTTGGAATGCATATGTTGATAATGTAAAAGTGTTGTTGTGCAATAATTATAGTCATAAAATTAAAATTTATTGAGTTGTCTAATAATTACTTTAAATAATTAAATGAGTATTAATTAATATATTTTTCCTTAATCATTTTATAGTATCCGAAGTTAATGGAAATTTTACATATATAAAAGGGCACAGGGAATGTTCAAGGTTGAAATGAAAACACACTCAAACGTTCTGTTTCATGAAGTTCGTGTGTGTGTGTGTAAAGACAAACGTCTATCAGCAAATTGACAACATGAATTAATCACTGAATTAGTGAATTTTAGCTTATACGGACTAAATCCAACGTGCACGAGTTTTTATGTGTATTACCGAAAGTAGAAACTACTAACTAAGAAGCTTTTTTTCTGTACGAAAGCTAAAATCATGCATAGGGGTAGATATACAACTACTACAGAAAAGTACTTTTTTAACACGCGTACATTATTAGTAATATCTCAAACACTGAGCGCATAGGGCAATATTAGCGGATAGTTATGGAACTGCTAATATAGTTAGTGACCTTAATTAGCAGATTCACGCAGCTTTGGAACTGCTAAAATCCTTTATCTTGTTTGAAGACTCATAGTTATATACCTCTTAGAATAGAATTAACAGACTAAGATATTTGTTTTGATACCTGCCAAATCACTTCTATGGAAAATACAAATCCGGGAGAATTTATGTTTTGGATGCCTCAGGAAACGGGAATGACGACTACTGGGAATTAGATTAGTGAGAGAGGAGTTGTAAGAATATGAGTAAAAAAAATATCTTGATCTTTTTTGCATTCTAATTTTAATATACACATTATTTTATTATCTCTTTTTTCCTTCTTCTTAAATTTATCATTGTTTTTCCTTTTTATTTTCTACCAAGGTTGTATACACTCTTTGGAGTGTCAAACAATCATTCTTTGAAAATTTCTATATCACAATGTATTGATAATAAAGTGATAATCATATATAAATTAACGATTTAAGCCTTTACTTTAACATGTGGTTCTAACCATATTAATATAGTACAATTTATTGATAAGTCAATCTCTGTTGAAAATTAAATTTCCTCTATGTTTTGGTCCACTACTATAAATTAAATGTTGATATATTTCTCTTAGTGGATTTCAACAAATAAAATTTCAGATCCAGTTTTGAATTGTTCTGTCCTACAATTCTGAGTTGCAAACAAAGAATACTATACATTCACATGAGTTCTACCTATGTACTAAACCTTTCTACTAGATTCTCTCTATATATATTCCACCTAACTAAACTAGACATTAAAGTTCTATCGCTGTAGGGTTGTCTAAGATTTTATTATATTTTTTTTAGATGATTGTAAAAGGTGTTTGATAGAGAAGAAGTTATTAGTTTATTTGAGAATCTTAAATTAAAAATATTAAATTTTCATATTTGATATCAATTTAAAAAATAAGATTCTTAGAAAATATTATTTTTTTGAAAATCATTTTTATCTCACTTTCCCAAAAAAAGAATTCTTATGAGAAGGGTTAGAAATCCAACTCTTGCTCATTTTTTCTCTTTTTTTTATCATAGTTTTAAAAATTAGATCGGTCTTCAAATCAGTTAGGGTACTGGGTTAGTGGGTCAAAGGTTAAACTAGAAGGTCATTAATTGAACCGCATGACTCGATTTTTATTAAATTTTTTTTAAAATATATTCATCTTAAATATATTTTATACTTATAAATTTCAATAAATTCATATCCTATTTTAAATTTCAATTTTCTATCTTATTTAAAATTATCTTTATTTTTATTTTATATAAAAAATACATTAAAAAAATTACATGTTAAATTATATATTAATACAAATTAAAAATATAAATAATATGTACATATATAATATGCTTGTAGTTGATATCACAAAATAATATATGTAATATCTACATAGATATTATATTATTAAATATATAATTTAAAATTAATATACTATACAAGTTATTTAAGGTTGCATATTTTACAAACAAATATATTAGAATAAGTAGTTATTGTTATATTTAATAAGACTTTTTACTCTTTCATTAAAAGATTCAATTTTCATTGTTATTTTTGTAGTTTATGATCCCTTAAAAAAATTGTAGTTGAACCAGTTTAACCCATCGGTTCACTGCTCGAATCAAAAAATTGACTGGTTCAATTCAATTTGAGATAAGCCAAATACATAACCAATATAACTTAAGATTCGAACTGGCTAGACCACTGGTTCCCAGTTCAACCGGTCTAACCGACCGGTCCGATCCAATTTTTAATACATTGCTTTCTATTTCTCTTTCTCTCTCTTTATCTCTCTATTGTTCTCTCTCACTCTCACTCTCACTCCCCCTCCCCCTCTCTCCCTTTCCCAATCTCCCTCTTTCTTACTCTCTCTCTCCTCCTCCTCCTTCTCCCTCTCTCACTCTTTTTTAATTTCTTTCTTATATCTTATTATTTTTTATTTTGTCAATTTTAATAATATTATTAAAATTTATTTTATTTCTACAGTTTAATGATATTTGTTAACACTTTTTTTTATTTTTTTTTAATGAAATGAAATCATGTATTTTATACTTTTCTTAATTGTAAGATAACATTTTTTATTTGTTTCTTTTGTTGAATTTTGTATTTAAATAATCTTAATTATAAATTTTTAACTTTTTAAAATAGTTTAAGTTTTATCAAATGCAAATATTATAATATAAAACATTTGTTCATACATGTAATTAATTTTTTATTATCTTCAACAAAGTAAGATCATAAAAAAAAAGTTTATTGTCATATTTATAAAAAAATTTGAATATATATATATATATAATAATAATAATAATAATAATATTAATAATAATAATAATAATAATAATTACACTACAAGAAAATTATCATATAGTGATACATATCCTATAGTGACACAATAAGTGTCCCTAAAAATTACTTTTACCTACATAATAAATATAATATATGTTGGTATATTGTTAAAAAGTGTGGGTATAAGCTATAGTGACACATAAAATATGTTGTTATATCTCATTCAAAATCAACACTAAAATTATGTGTAGCTATATGCCAAATAGATATATACTTACATATATTATACTTATAGTGACACTTTTTTATGTCACTATA